TATGAATCGGACTTTGTACATTGGACTTTGTCTTTTGAATGAGTTTCTTCCTCGGTAGTAAAGGTATGCAAGGTTCGAGACTATGCTCGGTTGGCTCTAGGATAGGTGTATGCTAGGGTAGTTGGTTTGAACTAGGAGGATCATGAAGCCGGATTCTACTTGTTTGTGGCATGTTGGTAGTTGCTCCCTATAGTCGATTTGACACCACTAGTGAGTTTTCGCTACATCCATGTGAGGTTCATTGTTTTTCAAGCCTTCAACCTATTTTGTATGAGCGGCTTGGATCCTTAACTATTGCGGACCTAATCTATAAAGCTTATTTATGATTCTTCAACCCGAGACCGAGCTATCTAGGGAGGACAAAGGCATCTTTTCCGGGTGTTATTTTTCATTTTTAGGATAGTTTCTTTCATCTTTGTTTTTTGGGTTTACATTTGCCTTCTAGCAACCATTTGAGCTTATTACCTTCTTTTCAAGCCACATCTTTAGAACTTTGGCCTTTTGTTTCATTTTCTTTCTTTTCTTGTATTTTGTGAAGCAATTGATCATTCTTGATGGAGTTTGTGGTGAAAAAGTTGGGATATGTGGTTCCCTTGATGCTAGCTTGTGTTATGTTTTCTTTGTGAATAATGGCAAATGAGTATAAGTACAAGCCGTCCTAAATTAAAAAAAGGCATGGAAAAATAAGTGCAAAATTGAAAAAGTCGTCCGAAGTTGGAAAGATGCAAGGACAAAGCAAAGCAAACAAAAAAAAATTTAAAAAGTGAAAAAAAATTCAAAAATATTTTGATGTATTCTTTTCTCCTTCTAAGCATTGAGGACAATGCTTCATTTAAGCTTGGGGGAGAAGCGTTTATGCTTTTTGTACATATTCTTGTGAGTATAGCTTTGAATAAGCTTGGGGGTGTAGTTGTTTTTGTTTGGTGATTTTTTTATCATGATGTTGAGGATTGATAACTCTTTTGCTTCACTATTTAGGAAAACTGCCGAATTTCAATTTTTTCTTACCTTCACCCTTTATGCCTTACGTTACAACCTTTGGGAAAGCCCTTTCGACCTAGAAGTTGAGTCACTATTCGGGGGAGGGAATCATGGGTCATTGCCTAAGGAAATGGGATGCATAGTCAAGATTGTCAGGTAGCCTAAATAATTCTCTTCTTCTGGTTCCTTCGAGGAATCATTGGGATGCTCACTAAGGGGAGATTTGAGACTAGTGGGGAGAACACAGTAAGATCATTTGGGATGAACGTGGATTATGATGTATAGTTCCTATTCTTAGCATACCTTATGTTTCAATCAACCTTGAATATCTTGGAACGTGCATACCTTGATTGCTTGAGAAAGATTTTCATTCATTTACAATGTAGTCTCTTTTGTAAATCCATTTCGCAAAGGTTTTTGTTTTCCCTTTTCCCTTTTTCTTTTCTTTTTATGGTTTTGCCTCTTGGATGTTGAGGGAGAGTTATAAGTAAACTCTTAGGATACCCTTACGAGAGATCTAGGTGTTTAAAATTACTTGTTGTAGCTAAAAACAATCGCGATTCCTACGACAGTGAGTCTTAGTGTATATTCTCATCTTGAGTCTTTCTTTTTCTTTTTCTTTTTGAATAAGTCTTTCATCCTTATTCTTTCTTGCTTTGTTTTGCTCGAGGATGCGCAAAAGTTTAGCTTGGGGGAATTTGATGAGTCTCATTTATGACACTCATTTGGCTTCTTTTAGGATGTATTTCATGCTATTCTATAGCTCTGTTCTTTAGTTTTCCTTAGTTTTGTTCTTTATTTCTTTAGTTTGTGCTTTCCTTAGTTAGCTTTCTTTCTTTGTGCATTTCTTTGTTTATTTGGTCTTTTTCCCTTTTATTAGCTTGTTTTCGTGTATTTTCAGGTTATGATCGTGTTCCGAGGATTCTTGAGCCTTCCTCCCATATTTCCCATCATTTTGGATGCCTCTTGCTTGTCATTTGGATCTAAAGTTTGAAGGAATGCAAGGAGCAAGTTCATAAGATCGGTGCATGCATGCGATGGGGGCATCATCTTTGGAATAAACTTACCAAAATAGCCATTTTAAGACTGCCTACCTTAGTGTTCATCATTATCACTAAGACGAGCGCACGAGGATGAGCTAGGACGAAGAAGAGGGAGCTCCCCTGCTGCCAGGTGCAGGCACGCACGAGGGTGGCGCGGGCGCGGGCGCGCCTGCCTGGATCCCTGTTCCGTACCCATTTTCTCGCGGCCGCGCCTCTCCCTTGATGCGACCGGACCTTCCGGGGTTTCTTTTGGGACGACCTATCTAACTCTTCTTTTGTATCTTTCCTTTATATAGTCTTTCCTTCTATTTTTAGAGGGAGGAGGATGATTAGAGAATAGAATTAGATCATAATTAGAGAGATTTTAGAGAGAGAAACTCTAGGTTTTTAGAGAGAGAAATTCATGGTGGATTGTTGATGATTGATGATTTCATCATTTCCTTTGATTTTTGATAAAGTTTGTATGGATTCCATTTCTTTAATTCAATCTATAGTTTGATCTTTAGTTTGATTTCATTTGTTTTGTTGATTGTTCTAGTTTGATTGAAGTTTGATTGATTTGTGTTTGATTTTAGCTTGTTTGATTTGATCATGATGAATTTATTGCTTAGTGTTGTTTTGATATTAATTTCAATGGCTAGTGAGTAGAGTGCTTGCTAGGGTAATGGTGAAGCATGTATGAGTAATGGATTAATGCTAATTGGGGAAAATTGATGGAGTTGATTATGTGATTAAATTGGTTGATGATCAGGTGCATGTGTGTGATTAATTAAAGAGTAGCTAACTTTGATTGTTGCACTAGATTGCATTGTAAGTTCACATTGATACGGACCATTGATTTCTGGCTTGCATTTAACTATTGAGGTGTCTTGTGACGTTCCTAGCTAGAGTTTATCGTAGTTGACGCTAGTTAGACCTCTAGGAAAATAGCTTGATACGCTCTTTTGGTTGCAGGATTGGTCTTCCGTCACATTGCTTGACTTAGTCACTTTGACCTCCCAATTAGTTGAATCCGTTACGATTACATGTGGATCCTAGCCCCAGCGTTTTATATACTTGATTTTAATTCATTGTTTATTCATCTTGTCCTGGTTTACATACCTACACCCTACCATTTCGGAGTAGCTTGACTTAGGCTATAGATAATCGCCCACCGTACCTTAGTGGTTTGACCCTCAACTTACCATTATACTTGTGTAAGGGTGTTTTCAGAGATTACAAATTTTGTTTGGCCTAGGGTAGGGGTTAGTTTAAACGACCTAGTTCTGACCCTTGTCAAAATGGCGCCGTTGCCGGGGAATGGTGTTGTGATTGTGTATTGTTGTTGAATCTATTCCATCTTATTCAAAAACACAAAAAGATTTTTCTTCTTTCTTTTAGGTTACACTTGTAGCCGCGTTACTAACAATTTATTTTGAGTTTTTCCATGCATAGTAGAACTCATGATAGGTCCTTAGTTCCTTTGGATCCGGAAATTGAAAGAACTCTTTCACGAAGAAGGATAGCCAACCGATCTTTGAGCCTAAGTTCCTCAAGTGAAGAAGAGTTTGAGGAAGAAGAAGAGCAAGGCATGGGAGAGAATCCAAGATTAGATTTGAAGGAATTGGGATGTGCTTATAGGTTTGAGAGCGACATTGCTCAACCTACAACACCGGCGAACAATTTTGAAGTAAGACCAGCCATGATTACTTTGATAGAACGGAGGCAATTTAGTGGAGCCAAGAGTGAGAGCCCGTTGAATCACCTAAAGGAATTTGAGAAGTATTGTAATGCTACCAAGGTGAACGACATTTCTTAAGAGTTCATTCGGCTAAAGTTGTTTCCCTTTTCTCTTATTGGTCGTGCCTTAGAGGGTCGGATAAGGAAGTTAAGCCCAATTCCCTTAGGACGTGGGATGAAGTCACAAAGGCTTTCTTGTCTCGCTTTTACCCACAAAAGAAGACGGCGGAGGCCAGAGCCTTGATCCAAGGATTCAAACAAAGGCCTAATGAGAATATCTATGAAGCATGGGAGAGGTACAAGGAGTACCAAAGAGAAAGCCCACATCATGGAATTCCTACCTATCAAGTGATACAAATTTTCTATGGAGGCTTGAGTGCCAAAGGCAAGTCATGCCTAGATAGAGGAGCTGGAGGTCCTATAATGAATAGGACGGAAGAAGAGGTAGTTGACATAATTGAGGATGTGGTGAGATACTATAGAGATTAGCAAGAAGGAGAGAGGGAGTCTACCAGCAAGAGTCGCTCGGTGGATCATCTCAACGCGATTAACAACTTGTCCTCCCAAAATTCAAATCTAGGGAAGGAAATGACATCATTCAAAGCAAAGCTTGAGAGTGTTTCTACGAATTCATTAAGTCTTCCCTCCCAACTCAAAGGGAGAGGTACATTTTCTAACTCTTCTCTTTCTACTTCCAATAACATGCCAAGTGGTTGTCTATTTTGTGATTCTTGTGGATCTTATGATCATGATTCTTCCATGTGTTCTCAAACTTTTGTTAATGGATGTGATGATGTTGAAAATAATGAATGTGAACATGTAAACTTTGTGTCTAATGTCAATGGTGGTCAAAGGTTTGATGGACCTAAGAATTTTGGCAATAGGAATTCTCACCCCCAAGGTGGTTTCGATAACTACAACAATGGAGGCTATAGGAACCAAGGAAACCAAGGTTTTTGAGGTAATTATAACAACCAAGGTTATAGTAATAAAAATCCAAGCCATGGGTATGGAAACCAAAGCCAATCTCAAGGCTTTGGTAGCCATTACCATAATGGTGGCAATAGTCAAGGCCGAGGCAATTGGAACAACAACAAAAATCGGGGAAGTTTTCAAAATAACAACCAAAGGGGACCCCCACCCGGTTTTTCTCCAAAGCCTCAAGCCAATGGTGAAAATTCTTATTCCCAACCGTCATCATTTAAAAAAAATTTGGAAGAAATGATTGATAACCAAACCAAGATCATAAACACCTATATGGCGGTGAGTGACAAGAAATTTAATGAGATGATGACTCATAAAAAAATGCTTGAGACACAAATAACCCAAATAGCCAACACTCAAAAGGATTGTGCTAGTCCATCCTCTTTGTCTTCTCCAGGAGTGGAACCTACGAAACCCATGTATTCAATCACCACTAGGTGTGAGAGAGTTCTTAATGAGGGAGTTTCAAGGTCCATGGAGGAGGATGAGGGGATGAGTGACCCAAGAGAGGAAGTTGAGAAGGTTGTGTCTAAGAGTGTGAGTTATGAGGAGGTGCAAGAGAAAAAGAGGAGTAGTGAGAAAGAGCGTGAGGAAGTGTGGAGACCCAACCTTCCATACCCGCAAAAATTTTTGAGGCACAAAATGGATGAGCAATTCGGAAAGTTTCTTGCTATGTTCAAGAAAGTTCACCTTTCTATCCCCTTCACCGATGCAATTACCCAAATGCCTAGGTACTCTAAGTTCCTTAAGGAGATTTTAAGCGGGAAGAGAAAGTGTAATGAGGTTGATTCAGTTGAAGTTGGGAATTGTTATAGTGCTTTTATTCATAATGAGTTGCCCAAGAAGATGGAGGATCCGGGTAATTTCTCTATTCCATGTGAGATCAAGGGAAATATGTTTGATAATGCTTTTTGTGATCTTGGAGCTAGTGTGAGCGTCATGCCTTATTCTATTTTCAAGAAACTTAAGCTAGGTGAGCTCCTCCCATCTAACATAACCCTTTAATTGGCCGATCAGACTATTATGATTCCAAAGGGGAGAGTTGAGGATGTTCCTCTTAAGATAGGAAGGTTCACTATTCCCGTTGATTTCATTATGCTTGTGATTGCGGAAGATGACCATATCCCAATCATTTTAGGAAGACCTTTCTTAGCCACTTTGGGAGCCTTAATAGATGTTAAAAGAGGTCGTATTACCTTGAGAGTTGGTAAGAAAGAGGAAAGTTTTAAGTTAAAACCAATTCATGAGTCTTTGTCTCTTGTGCAAGGAATTATGTGTGCTAATTCCCCTCGCTCTATTGATAATGTGTGCATGATTGATTGTTCAACTAACGATGTTCTTGAGAATTGTGATGATTCTCCTTCGAGTTTTGATGGCAAGAAGGTTAGTGAAGAGAAAATGATGATTCCCAAGCTTATGGATGAGGAGGAAGTTGAAATTCCTCATTGGTTTGAGCTCTATCTTCAGGATGAAGGGGATGTTTGCATGAGTATCGATGGTAAGGAACCTTCTATAATGAACAACAAGCCTAAGAAAAAAGCTCGTGATTCTAAGAAGAAGATAGAGAGAAAGAAGTTACGGAAAGAAAAATTTGCAATTGAAATGTCTTTGAAGGTGGTTTAATCAAGCAACAACAAGAGGTTGCTAGAAGTTGAATTGGAATTTGCTCTTTCCGCTACCTTGAAAAAGGTGGTGTTCTGTGACCCTCCATAATTTGGAGGAAGGGTCGAGCTTAGGACCATAAGCAAGCGCTTCCTGGGAGGCAACCCAGAGATTTTTAACTTTTCCTTTTGATTTTTGAATTTTTCTTATTTTTCCTTCTTTTAGTTTCTTTTCTTTCGCTTTCTACTTGTTTTGATTTGTATGTTGAATTTTGGGATTGGATTTCATCAAGTGAGCATGAGGAATGAGAAGGTGTTTGCGGTTTTTGATGTGATTATATTCGATATCATCGGAATTTGAGGTAAAAGGGTAAGAATTTTAGTGACGTAATATAGAGAATTTTGTGCTTTAAAGTTAAAGGAATTTTGCACTTAGTGGTTCATGTGGTGCTACTATTATTTTGGGATTTTTAACCCACTAAAATCTTGATTTGAATCTACCACTTTCAGTGGGTTCAAGAGCCTAAATGTTTATCTTGATCGATAAACCCACCGATGAACGCACCAAAAATTTAAAACAATAAAGAAGAAGAATCGGGCTAGGCACAGGTGCGGGCGCACACGTGGTTGGTGCGGCCGCGTAATGGCTGGTGCGGGCACGCCAGCCAGCCCGTGCCCCCCTTATCTTCTCTTCCTTCCTTCCTTCTTTCATTTCCCCTTATTTCCTCCTTCTACATTCGAACCCCATCAACCTCAAACCCTTGAAACCGCACCACTTCCCTCTCATTCTCATCAAATTTCAACACAAATCACTCAATTTTTCACTTTAAATTCACTAATAACTTCTACATTTTCATCCAAATCATCAAATTCATACTACTTTCACCAAATTAAACCTCTAATCTCTCTCCTCCATACTTGGGTATAATTTGGGGCTTTTCAATTTGGTGTGAATTGGTGGCTAAAATTGGTTCAATCTTGCTTCATATATGGTATAATCATCTTCTATAGCTTTTAATTGCTTAATATGTGATATACTTGCAAGTTTTTATTTGTTCATGAGCTTGAATAGTAGTAGTATCATTTTTTATGATTTTGATGATTGATAAACATATTCACCAAATATTTGCACCATGAATTTCCTTCTTTGGGGCAGCCTAACATAACATAGTGAAAAAGAATCAACACACAAGAGGAATAAATACGGAGAAATTAAATCACCTTGACTGAGCCCCCTCAACGGCATCACCGAGCCAAAAACCTCCCCATTCACCTTAAAAGAAAAAGAGAAACTAGATATTCAATTTAACACCCTCCGAATCCTGTTGTCACCAAAACCCATCTTTGACATAACTTTTTCCAGAAAACTCTACTCTACCATATCATAGATCTTACTCATACCCAACTTCAATGCAAGATACTGACAAGGGGTGAAACTAGATCATTGACTAATTCTCCCTTGGTCAAAATAAATTTATAAACACTTAACAAACCTAAATACAAGTATAGAGGCAAGTCAAGGGTCGAACCTAAAGAAACGGTAATGTTCAAGCGCTCTTAATTATGCGCCTAAGGATAAAAGAAGAACAATAACAATTAACAAGCAAAGAAACTAAACAAATAAAGCACTAGGGATGGGGATTAATGATGGGTGTCATAAATGGCACACATTTGATGAGCATTTAGGTTGTTTTTACCTTAAATTCAAGGCTTTCATGCTTAATAAATGCTTAGTTTTATGCTTTTGGTCTTAGTCTTACCTTTCCTTTCTTATTTTGTAGCTTTTGTGCATTTCTATGGGTTTTCTAGTCTTTTCCCCTTTATTTGCTCTATTTTCGTGGGGTTAGGTATTGTACGAGGTTTGGGTCTTGATATTGGTGATTTACTAAGGTGGAGGAAGCTTTTAGAGCAAGCTCATTGTAATTGGAAAGCTCAAGATGCAAGGAAGTGGATTCTCCAAGTTCTAGCTCTTACGCTCTCAAGCTGTGCTCTCATGAATATGGGGTGTTGAACCCACAATCATGTGCTTTTAGGACTGCCTCACTTAGTGTTCATCATCATCATGATTTTGCGTTCATTCAAAGACCTTACCGAACGCACGAAGCCGCGAGCAGATCAAAGAAACCCAGAGATGCCCGGACGCGCCACCTTTGCAGCACGGTCGCACGTTTCTTGCAGCGCGGGCGCGCCTTCCTGGGTATTTGTTTGCTCGGGTTTTGTTTTCGCGCCTCTATAAATACCTTTGCGAACCCGATTTTTGGGGCAAGTATAGAATAAGCATCATTTCACATTTTTGATCATTTTCTTAGCTTAGTTGAGAGCTTCTCTCTCTAGTTTTAGGGTTAGTTTAGGAGTAGATTTTAGAGAGAGAAAGTGAGGAATTTCAATGGTGATTGAGAGATTGAAGATTCAATGGTGACAATTGTGTTGGAGATCTTCTCTATTATCAATGAGCATTCTTAACTCAATCTCATTTTATTGCTTTGTTTGATTTCATATTTGTTTAGTTTGATTTTGATGTTTGATTGTTGATTAGTGTAATTGTTCTCTATATTTTGAAGATTCTTTATATTCTTTAGTTGTTTGTGACTAGATGATGATGTTTGTTAGGAATTAGGTGAAACTTTTATGATTGATTGATTGTGCTTAATTTGGGGATTGTGTTGATTCATTGTTGAGATTAAAGTGATTAATGGAAGTTTGCATGAGTGTAGTTCGATTAGGCCTTGAGAATTATGCTAGATTGCATTGTAGTTTCTAATGATACGGACCATTGATTTAGAAATTTCAATTGTCGATTGAGCTTGATTAGTGATGCTCCTAGTTATAGTCTCTCGTCGTTGGCGCTAGTTTGACCTCTAGGAGATAGCTTGTTGACTCTTTTGATTGAGCTTGCCATTAGTCTTCACAACCATTGATTTGCATATTGTTCCCGAGTTGCTACAAATGTCATGATTACTTGTTGATCCTCGTTCCTAGTGTTTATTTGTTTTTTTCTTCATTTTATTAGTTGGTTATAGTGTTTACCTTTTATCCTTAGACTTCAACCTAGTTTAGGCGCATAATTGAGAGTGCTTGAACATTACCGTTCCTTTGGGTTCGACCCTTGACTTGCCTCTATACTTGTATATAGGTTTGTTAAGTGTTTATAAATTTAGTTTGATCGAGGGAGGATTAGTTTCAACGACCTAGTTCCACCCCTCATCAATCAACAAGTATTCATGACAATTGTAGCAACTCAGGAACAACATGCAAATCAATGGCTGCGGAGACTAATGGCAAGATGAGCAATCAAAAAAGCTCGAAAAGCTATCTCCTAGTGGTCTAACTTGTGCCAACTACGAGAGACACTAACTAGGAACATCACTAACCAAACGTAATCGAAAATTGTAAGCTACAAATCAATGGTCAGTATCAATGTAGACTCACAATGCAATCTAGAATAATTCTCAAGGCCTAATCGAATTACACACGTGCACAATTTCCATTAATCACTTTAATCTCAACAATTAATCAACACAATCCACAAATTAAGCACAATAAATCATACACGTTTTACCCAATCCCTAGCCAAACAACTTCTCTAACATCATCATCTAATTCATTAACAACTAAGGGAATCAAGAATTAACAATAAATGAAGAACAACTACACTAATCAAGCATCAAACCTCAAAATCAATCCAAACAAACAAGAAAATTAAAAAATCAATAAAATGAGATAGATTTAGAAATGCTCATTGATAATAGAGGAGATCTTCAACACAATTGTCACCATTGAATCTTCAATCTCTCAATCACCATTGAAATTCCTCACTTTCTCTGCTTAAAATCTACTCCTAAACTTACCCTAAAAACTGTGAGAGAAACTCTCAACTAAGCTAAAATTTTGATCTAATTTCAATCTAAATCCCTTTTCAAAAATCGAGTTACAAAGGTTTAAATAGAAGGCGTAAAACGAAATCGAGCAAAGTAGGGACCTGGAGAGGCGCGCCCACGCTGCTGGGTTGTGCGCACGCGAGGCCAGGGAGGTGCGCCCGTGCTCCTCTGGGTTTCTTCGGTTCTTCTCAAGGGTTCCTACGTTCGCAAATGGCTTCAAATGAGTGCACTGAATGATGATGATGGTCACCAAGAGTGGAACACTTTACAGTGGGTTTAACACCCATCTTCATGAGAGCGCGGCTTGAAAGCACAAGAGCTAGAACTTTGAGAATCCTCTTCCTTGCATCTTAAGCTTTTTTATTACCATGAGCTTGCTCCAAAATAATCTTCCACCTTATTAATCCACCCATATTAAGACCCAAAACCTCGTACAATAACTATAACCACAAAAAGAGAACAAATAAAGGAGAAAAGACTAGAAAAAACCAATAAAATGCACAAAACCACAAAATAAGAGATAAAA